TATATGTTTTTTGTGATTGTATTTGTTTTAGCTTTTGATCTCATTTTTGGTAAACAATATGTTATAGTTAAGATTTCTTCGTCATTGAAGAAAAAAAACATTTCCGAACTGTTCGGATTGTGCGGCGAGTGGTCTCTCCGCAATGTTCGAAGAGATCAAGCAATTGATCTCTCCGAACTGTGCGGAGAGTGATTTTTTTATTTTTTTTTCAATCGATATCATTGCTTGATAAGTGCATTTCCATTTTTTATGTACAATTATATTTTATTTATTTATATAAAATGCTTTAAAAATAATAATTATTAAGCTAATAAAAAATATAGTAAAAAAAGTATACAAATCAAATTTCTCAAAAAAATTAGTAACAAAAAAGTAAAAAAAAAATGCATTTACCTATTTTTAATTTCGTCTAATTTACTAAAAAAAAATTGCACATGTTGTGTGGAGTCTCCGCACAATTTGTGTAGATTCCGCACAAATTGCAAAATTTGTGCAGAGTCTCCGCAAAAGTGAGGATTCCCTTTTTTTTTTTTGGCTGAATCATGCAATTAATATTTTTTTATTTTTTTATTTTATTAGTTAAAAATATATATTAAATCTAATAAAAAAATATAACTACAAGAATAAGTTTTTTTTTAAAAAAAAAAAAACAACTTTCCCCCATATATGCAGAGACTCCGCACATTTTTTGTACAGAGTCTCCCCATGTCGGGAGTAATGTGCGGACACTCCGCACTCCGTCCGCACAATGAGGTCAGACATTTCGCACAAATTGTGCGAAGTCTCCGCACAATTCGCATAGATTATATGAAGTGTCCGCACAATGTGCTGTGTGGACAGAGTACGCACACTCCGCACAGATTGTACTTTTTTTTAACTTTTTTTTTCCTTTTTTTTTCTTTTATCAATTTTTTTTTAAGTAGAAATATGAGATTTTTTGTATAATCTATTAAGTGGTCATCAAATTTGTTGAATCCTAAAAGTTAGATTTCTCTTTGATTTCCTAATTCTATGAAGTTTTTAAATTAAATTGTTTATCGCCTTCTGGTGATATAGATTCTCTGTAAGTTAGAAAACCATAGATAAAAAAAAAACTCCTCTGCATAGTTGGAGAGTTCACTTGAACTCTCCGCATAGTCCGGAGAGTTTCTTCCAACCCTCCGCATAATGCGTAGAGTTCACGTGAACTCTTCTAATTGTGGGAAGAGTTCAAACACTATGCGGAGGGTTGGAAGAAACCCTCCGCACAGTGCGGAAACTTGGAGACTTGAACTCCGAACAATCCGGAGAGTCACTTTAGGAGACAAATGGGGGGAAGTTATGGTACACCCACAAGGCAGTCTTATGTAGGGAAAAAGGGTCATATGAACATAATGTGCTATGTTTGTGATGAGAGAGGAAACAGCAAGCAACATCATTCCACGCCACTTGTTACATTGGATGTAAGTACCCTAAAATTGATACCAATAAATTTCTGACAACTAAAATTTTCCTATTTTGTATTTTAAAACTTGTTTGATGCAACATTTGGAGGAAGTGAATTCTCAACCAACAAGAGTACAAAGCGCAAGTATAAGTTCACAGCTTCAAGTACATGATTGAATATCTATTATGTTATTACTTTTTTTTTATATTTGTTGTTCAACGTTGTAGGGGAAGTTTTTTGCGAGAAGAAGAAATTGTCCATCGACCAGCCGGCACCAACTGCAGATCATTTGGAGAAAAAATGACGAACTACGGGTAGAAATGTTGGAGGAAATGGTGGATAGTTTTCAAGAGATAGAAGCTGTTGCATTTTCACAACTAAGGATATCTAGAGTTTATTCCAGGCTACATGTGAAGATGGCTTCGCCGAAGCTAAAATCTGGATGTAACTTACATGCAAACAAAGGAGGATATTACTTGTAGCTTCTTTATTTTGAAATGAATGAATGTACATTTATGTAACACGTTTATGTTACGTATAGAACAAGTACTTTATAAGTTTTGGGATAGGCTTATATCACTTTTCCATGTAATGACATATTACCAAGATTAATACATTTACCATCTTGCGAAGATAAGTTTTTATTAAGTTTAATTCATTTGCTTGACATACATATGCTGGAAAGTCTTGCAAAAATCCATTAACATGATCCACGATTTTACCCAACAAACATTAAAAACACCAATTCGGAGTCAAAATTTCAGAACAACGTGATTCACTACAATTTTATTCAATTATATAGACACATACACTGCTTCAATTACATCTTCCAAGACTTCATGCTAAGATTACAATAACCAAATTCGAAGGAATAACCTAATAACAAAATATGGGAAAACAACACTAAAAGCGAACTTGTACATTTTCATAGAAAATTTTATGGTTTTCTTCTTTAAGTCTATTATTCAATCGTATCAACCCATTTACTATTATCTTGTACCCGTCATTCGATGCCGTGTCAGTCCAATCAAAGAAATTGCAAGCATTCCACATTCCATAGGATCGGTCTCTATCCATGAAGTCTTCACATGTCCCAAATGCCCACAATAATGATAGTACAAGAATGACTAACTAAGAATGGGTGAATTGGTTTTTGAAACTTTTTCAAAAATTAATCTTTTATCATGCAAGAACAAAGAGATCAATCAAATAATATGCGTAAATAAAATAATGATAAGTAAAGAGAAGAGAGTGTACAAACGATATAATTATGAAGGTTCGATCAAACCAATGATCTACGTCCTTTGTTACCAAGTTTTTCGTTACGAGTAAGACCATTTCACTACATCGATTGACTTATGGTGCAATCAAAACCATTACAACTCTTTCGATGATTTACAAAAAGGAGCACCAACTCTTATATAATATTGAGCTTTAAGGCCTTTTACAATGAAGCTTCGAATGGGAGATGCATTATTGACACACAAAAGACTTTTGCAATCACTAGGTTAAAATATTGATTTATTGCGTTGTGTTAAAAAAAATTTAGGTAATCATAATAAATCTTGTTATTATGTTAATAAAATTACAATATATATATAGGAAACAATATTGAATTACAAAAAACAATATCTGCCGTATTAAAAACAATATGTGCAGTAAATACGGTATGATGCAAATACGGTATGTTGCATGTACGGTATGTTGTAAATACGATATGCTGCAAATGTGGTATAATACAAATACGGTATGCTGTAAATATAGGGATGTCAAAAGAGCCGAGCCGCTCGCCGGCTAAACGGCTCGGCTCCTGAAAATGGGGCTTGTGGGCGGTTCGGGCTCGTAAAATCACAAGCCCGAGCACGAGCCGAGTGAGCCTCACCGGGAGGCAAGCGGCTCATTTGAACGAGCCACGAGTCGCTCGGCTCATGGCTCGTCGAGCCCTCCAATTTAAAGTGACCAAAACGGTCGGTCATTGAAATTAATTTTTTTTAAAATTTCCCCCCCTTCTACTATAAATACCCCTTTCCCCCTTTATTTTTTTTCATATCAATTGCTACTCCAAGTCTCCAACTCTCTCAATTCTCTTTTATTATATCAATTATCGAGTTTTTACTCTCTTGTGCTGAAAAATATACAATATCAATTCAATTTTTACAGTTTACTAGTTACAATTTCAATTTATCCAATTCTCAATTCTCACAATCTCAATACATTTATATTCTTCTAGTTAAGATTTCATCATAAACAATCAAACAAATAGATCAACGCTTATTTGTTGAAAGTTTGTTTGGTACAGGATGTGGGCCACATCATGATGAATCGCCTAGGACGCCGCAAAGTCAATTTTCAAATGAATTTGTCGATCTTAATGACCTACTGATACCTGAAAATGTTCACGTTCACGGTCAGGGAAGCCACAATCCAATTGATTTGGATGATATTAACGTTCCTGAAGCGGAACATGAGGATGAAGATGCTGAATTAAACATTCTAGATGCGAAGAGAAAGCGAAAGGCAAAAAAAAAAAAACAAAATGTTAGGATCACTTTAAGTTGATTTCAATGGAAAAAGTCGTCGATGGCCTTACAGAATCTAAAGCAGTATGTAAATACTGCGAACAAAGATTGGTATGGCAAAAAGGAATTGATACCACCCATCTCAACCGCCACTACAAAGCATGTGCGGCCAGACATGGATTTCTTCC